TAGGCCTTGTTCGTGGCACTCAACAGAGGATTAACAAATACATATAGGCAATATGGGTGGCTTTATTGTGCTCTACGCCATCTTGACCTGCACTGGAAACGTGAAAGTAGTGACCAGGGTTAGGACTGAAAAACATGTCAGACCAAACTGAGTTCATCCCCAAGACCATAATATTAAATTAAATGTTGCTTGGTGTAACAAGGTTGCAGCAGAAGTTTAGTGCATGATCAAAGTAAACTGTACGACCAATCACCAGTCCAAAACTACGTACGAAAGTGCGAAATACTTGACAATTATGTGCAGATTTGGTATGGCTCATCTTCCCCATAACTTAGGCTGTGAATACTCTGTTCTTTCGTTACTTTTCACCGCAAGGTTTGTCAACACAACTGTGAAAACTGATGTGCTGGTGAACTTTTTAAGCTTCCGTGCTCACTATCGTTTGTTGTCCATCCAGAAACCCCCCTACATGAGTAAAGAAGTCTACTCTCTTAGAGAGGCCAGAACAGCGTTCAAAGCTAGGCACGGTTCAGTGTGAATCTTCCCTTCGGCCTCCAGAGTCTAAACCTCCCTCACCCTGGGACATTTCTATAGTGTGGCATTGCTGCGTACGGGAGTAAACGGAAAGTCGGGAGCAGATATTTGTCACGAACCTTCCTGTCAGAAGCTTGGAATTCTTCTACCTCGTTATTCTTCTGTAGTGACGCACAGACGACTGGAGGATTTCATCCATGACAATTTATACGATTGGTACATTGTGCCGTTTTGGTTAGTAAATAAGACAGATCTGTGAAAGATGTTTCGCTGTTTTTGAATTCCGCTCGACAGAGAACGTCTGCGTCTCTCTTCCTATTCGTTAATGGCTGTGAGCCTTAGAATCAAAACGTTCATTCATTGACTTATTACACAGTGCAACGCATACGACGTGACCAGGACACTACAATGTTGGTGTTTACCTCAAATAAGGTGTTTACGATAGCTACTACCCACATGGACTTGTGGCGTGCAGTAATCAACGCACTTCGGTCTGTTCGAGTATGGCTAGTTACGTGTGAAAAAATGAGAAATTCAATCAGACCACCACTTACCGATGTTACGGATAATGCATCCATCCTACCAACCTCCACTGAGGCCTGGGAGCTTGCAACACTACGCAGAAGTAGCGGACATGAGATATGGCGACTGCGTGATTGAGTTGCACCCACTAGTGATTGCACTGCGGGTTGTCAGCCCGATCGCGCAATCGGTGAAACACCAGACAGACACGAGGGTAGCTGGTGCGAAACTAGTGTGTGTGTCACACGCTCCACAGCACGAGCAATGCGCTGATTGGATTTTCATGACCTTATTGGTAACGTACCCAATGCCAACGGGCGTCCTGGCCTGGTTAGACAATCAGTGCACGGGGCGGATGGGCGAAACAAGAGTGAGTTGACGGAGCTGTCGTTGGCACAGCCGAAAGCATGATGCACTGCCTGCCTACTCTGGTACGTACTTCGTGACTGGGACCACTACCGCCCACTAACTCGGGCTCATGGAACGCCAGTAATTACGTGACACCCAAGTGGGCTGTCACTTTTATTTGACCATGGATTGGCTAACCAGCTGATCTGTGCGGTGTACTCGCAATGCATGTCTCACCACCAAGCTATGCGCCCGTGCTCCAGGCGAGAGTGTTCGTTACGGGGCCTGCATCCAGTGCAGTGGTAAAACACAGGGTCGGTGTACTTTGAGCGTTCATGAGGACAGTTCGGCGTGACGTCGTTCGTTGCCTGCATGTGAAGCAGTCAGGGAGAGCTCTTTGGTGGTTGTGATTTTAAGCTAAGCAGCATATCAGTGCTACGCCTGACACCATGTGGACTGATAACCAGTAATCCTACTTTTTGATAAGGGCATGAGAAAACAGGGAAATACACACATTTGCAAACAAATCTGGTTTTGCGAGAGACCCACCTGGAATCCAGCTGAATTCCTCGTTTTTAAGCAACTGAATGTGCTGCACCAGGCCACCTAATGTTCCAGTGGCTACGATATTCGAGTTATCGCGATACATGCATATATACATATACTACATACCACTATACATGCTACTATACATACTATATATACATAAACATATAATGTACATACTACCATACTACTGCATACTTCCACATACATACTGCAAATACTACGTATATTCAGTTGCCTGGAAATAGCACAAACGAGAGATGCAGCTGGGATCCTGGTGAGTCTCTCGCAAAACCAAATTAGTACGCGAGTGAGTGTAGCTTGTCAATTTCGTGCAATTTGGTCTCAATTAGTAGGTTGACGAAAAACTCGGAGACTGCGCCTATCCGATGAGCCCCAAGAGGGGAAAAACGGGTCGTGGGCTGCCGTAGAATTTTTAGCAACCTTATGAGTAGTGTGTTACGTCTAGACGTGATAAAACGTCTTGGCTGGTTCACCAGATCATGGCGTTGGATCGACTGCATGTACATTTTAACCCGTAGGTATGGAACCGGTGGATGGATCCGATTTACAGAAGTTGCTTCCATTTACGAAAATGTATTCACGAAATGCTAAGACACCACCATATCAGTGAAGAGAAGTGTATTTTACTCAGCGACTGATTCCAAACATTTCCGCAGCCAGGACTACGTCCATAATGTCGATGGACCCATGCCAAATACTTATTTCGCTCACTTCATCGGTGAAGTTAAAAACCTGCTTGTATTCTGAAACATTACCTAGAAAGTAATAACTACGATCAGCTGATCGGTATCCTGGTATCATCTGCCGGGTTGGTACGCACAGGGGAAGAGAAGAGGACGTAACAGGCCGATCTGCATGCTTCCTGATGAGATTTAATCGCGGAAATGGGTGATAGTGTTAATCAGTCACCAACCTGCCGCATCCTATTAAATGTTGCTGTTTTATTCTTCCTATCCACCGATCAGTATTTGCGAGGGACGCACATAATGCAAGGTAAAATGACATTACTCAGTTCCTTGTAGTCATTTGTTTGTTCTGCTGACAACACTGAATCTACTCAGATAGTATTTCTCCACTTTTTATTCGTATATATCCACAAAACCGGCTGAGTCAGAGGTGTAAGTACATAGTGATTGAGGTTCGGACTGCGTCCCGGGGCAAGACATCTGCTGAGAGTGCCGCCACAGCTTTCCAGCTACGCTAAAAAGCACATCTGGATGGAGAGAATAACCGAGCGTTTAGGCCAGGGTGTAGTGTCTGTAATCCGTTGTCACATTTACCATTCTTCCTGAACTTAAACCACACTTTGTAACTGTCGTTCACATTGTATCATGGCGTTTGTTTTAATGTTACGAATACACAATTTTCCGGTGCGACCTGCTGACTTCTTGCTGAACGAGTGTATTTACGCTCCGTTGAACTGTTTGTTGACTGCTGAACCAGTGGGACCAAATCTCTGTGTTTGTGTCAACTGTTGAACGTCACAAAAATTCCTGTGACATTTTTTAACCGTGAATAATTTTCCTACCGTGGAATATATCACGCACGTGAAACTATCTGTGGGAAATTCCGACAAGTGAGTATTTCCTTTCACAGCCAGTTACTGCATTTGAATCGGTGTAGTGGACTATTAGATCTACACATTCGTGAGTCCCCATTTGACTACTCATTCCTTTCCTACTGTGATTTTGTGATTTTATATTGGTTACTTTGCTTGTTAATTTATCTGAACACGCTGACAAGGTCCTAGTCCGCTACAAGGGTTAGTTGTTTATAGTCCTCCTTCTAGGATGAACTCCAGAAACTCAAGAAAATTCAGTTGCACCAGCTGGTTGGTCTTACTATGATGTCTGAGTAGTCTGACACTTGCGAGTGCCGTGCAAAGCCATACGACCATTTTGAAAGACTGTATTACGGAGAACAGATAGGGGAAGAGCTTTTTTCCTCCCACACCTAGAAACTGTTTATTCCACTATAGAGAACCCAGTTGTATCTCTGAATGCACCCGATACAGATGTCTTCAAGAATGTGAGCATTTTGACCAAGCCACTTTCGTTAGATATTGTACAAAGAATACTGGTGTACATAGTCTTCCAGCTTGTTTTGTTTTTCGTTTCGGGCCCTCAGAAATGCGCATAGGTTGTTTATCAGTGGAATGCACGTGAAAGTGGGTTTCACCTTCCTACAAATATTTCAGCATATCTCTTCACTTACTTTATTGACGAATCCACTGAAGTTCTTCTGTGACCTTGTCAGGCCAGACAGACTGTGGTTTTGAATTACGTGTTGTAAAACAAATCAAAGCATGCCCGTTATGAGCTGCGATCGATGGTTAATGTGTGCTTTCTGATCGTGCTACGTAGTTGCACTTTACCACTTAAGGTCATAGTGCATCTAGATATCAAACCGACAGGCCACTACTGATGTACTGAAGTACAGAGTCGGTGTTACTCCATGATGTGTGCACACTTTTGGAATAAGCCGATGAGGACTCGGTCCAATGATCAAATATCTGTCATGCATGATTATTCTATGGCTACGTATCGTTCAATGAAAGAATGCCCACGCAAGAAAACCTGACCTTGGAAATGCGACGCTTACAATGAATGATGTCTCCGATTAAAGCACTTAAGCTTTACCGCCTCAGTTTGAAATCCAGGCTAATCACCGTAAGTGGCCAACGGAGCCCAGCTCGTACCATTTTTCGAGGCATTCATGAATATGGTTCCAGACTTGGTGATGCGGATAGGTGAATTTTGCTCCATACCATACATACCNAGGTGAATTTTGCTCCATACCATACCATATATATATATATATATATATATATATATATAAAGGTATGTTGCCACATGCATTAAACCGGGAAGTTCAACCAGATGGCACCACGAGAAGGCGCATAATAACACGGGTTGAAGTAACTGATCGGAACAGAATATGAACAAAAGTTGCCATGCTTTGATCTCATAATTCAAGAATACATAGTGTTTGAAAGGATAAGGTAGCAAGTAGTTAGAATACGGAAATGTGCAACTTATTGTCATGTGTACAGGCCTGGGGAAATTAGGCGACCTTTTATCACGTAGATGTGGATTACTTAGAAGGGAATGATTCCCGTTCAGAGAACCTCTGTAAGTAACGATAAAATGTGGTGCGAAACCATACAGGAACTAATAGAAACTCCGGCGTGAACTGAGATGTAAGTTATCGTTTTCGAAAAACTTCGGTGACAATAGGCAGATTTATTGCTGGGCAACGTTTCGCTTTTGAGATGTAAGTTACTTTGAAAAGTTATGAATCTTTTTACAAGTTAGAGGTTGGGGAAGGTGGTGGGTGTTCCTGAAGCAGCAACTTGATAAAGCTGGCTGAATGAACAAAGACATGTCACCCGACTGAAAGATATCGTCAAAAAGACGGAAGGAACAAGGGCCGATGAACTCTTTCCGTGATAGTGACGGCTGAATAAAACAGGAGATTCTACGTTCCGATAGTGAGAAAATATTTAAGGGTTACCAGTAAGCTAAACAATATCGATGAAGCGTATGACTTTACTTTGACTGAAATCGAATAGAGGTGCCAGTAGTAGTCTGGGGTTTTTGCAAATTTGGAACTTATAAGGGAGAATTTGCGCAGGCATGAAATGTTTGCATGTCCGAAAAGGGAAACAAACCCTCCTGGATGTTCTCGTCCCAGGGATCTTGATCAATGGGAACCAGGACAAATTGTCCATAAAAGGTAATTCGAAAGCTTTGAACGATGAGAAATTTAGAATGAGAGCATATTACATCACAAGATGCAGGTTAAGAGAGAAGGTACGAAGGGAGCAGGACATTTGGAGGAACTTGGAGATGTTTAAAGCCGCGATGTTCGAAGATTCGGGTAAGGTAGATGTTCGGGAGTAGCATTGGCTTGTGAATGTGAATATGACCTTTTGGGAGATTAAAACGGAGAAAAGCACAGATTGCTGTCACGCAAAGAAACATGGGAGAAGAATGTGGGGTACAGAAGAGGCCATTGGGGAATACTGGCGTTGGTTTTCCGCATGTAACAGATGACGCCATTTATTTCTAATGGCATGAAACAATTATGAAGGAAACTTCATATTCAGGCGATTCTTTCTGGATGTTGTTCGTAAAGAAGCTAAGCAAGAATGTCTGCATGCCAAACCAAGTCTATGTCTTTGATATACAAAGGGTGACCATAGTCGTCTCACCAAAAGAAACTAGAGTGGTAGACCAAACACGTGATATACCAGCCAAGTAACCCGCCTTGCTGAGGTGACTCCCAAACCCATATTGGTAGTCATTCAAAGGGGCCTCGTCTTCAAAATTGCGGAGGATTTGTTTGATCAAACCTACTAGAGAACGTTTATAAAAACGGGATACTCGAGACAGGCCGATAGCTCTCGGAGTCGGAGAATCAGCCACATTAATGGGTAGCAAATTCAAATGAACTTTTCGCTCTGAAGGGGAAGCCAGTGGGTAAAGATGGGTGAAAGGACTGGGATAAGTCCAGGAGCATATTTAAGGATCGAAATGAGTGGGAAGCCATCCGAAAGCAGCTTGTGACAACAATTAACTAACTAACTACTAACTAACTAACTAACTAACTAACTAACTAACTAACTAACTAACTAACTAACTAACTAACTAACTAACTAACTAACTAAACTAATAACTAACTAACTAACTAACTAACTAACTAACTAACTAACTAACTAACTAACTAACTAACTAACTAACTAACTAACTAACTAACTAACTAACTAACTAACTAACTAACTAACTAACTAACTAACTAACTAACTAACTAACTAACTAACTAACTAACTAACTAACTAACTAACTAACTAACTAACTAACTAACTAACTAACTAACTAACTAACTAACTAACTAACTAACTAACTAACTAACTAACTAACTAACTAACTAACTAACTAACTAACTAACTAACTAACTAACTAACTAACTAACTAACTAACTAACTAACTAACTAACTAACTAACTAACTAACTAACTAACTAACTAACTAACTAACTAACTAACTAACTAACTAACTAACTAACTAACTAACTAACTAACTAACTAACTAACTAACTAACTAACTAACTAACTAACTAACTAACTAACTAACTAACTAACTAACTAACTAACTAACTAACTAACTAACTAACTAACTAACTAACTAACTAACTAACTAACTAACTAACTAACTAACTAACTAACTAACTAACTAACTAACTAACTAACTAACTAACTAACTAACTAACTAACTAACTAACTAACTAACTAACTAACTAACTAACTAACTAACTAACTAACTAACTAACTAACTAACTAACTAACTAACTAACTAACTAACTAACTAACTAACTAACTAACTAACTAACTAACTAACTAACTAACTAACTAACTAACTAACTAACTAACTAACTAACTAACTAACTAACTAACTAACTAACTAACTAACTAACTAACTAACTAACTAACTAACTAACTAACTAACTAACTAACTAACTAACTAACTAACTAACTAACTAACTAACTAACTAACTAACTAACTAACTAACTAACTAACTAACTAACTAACTAACTAACTAACTAACTAACTAACTAACTAACTAACTAACTAACTAACTAACTAACTAACTAACTAACTAACTAACTA